ATATATATATATATATATATGCATATATATATATATATATATATATATATATATATATATATATATATATATATATATATATATATATGTATGTATGTATGTATGTATATATGTATATATATATATAGACACGCACACAAACACACACACAAACACACACACACACACACACACACACACACACACACACACACACACACACACACACACACACACACACACACACACACACACACACACACACACACATATATATATAGAAAGATAGACAGATGAACAGACAGACAGATAGATAGATAGGCAAACAGACATATAGCTAGCTAACAAATCGTCTGATAAAATGCGGACAGGGATCCAAACGCCTCTGTGTCTGCATGTGGCATCTACACCACTCTCTAACACCCCCTCTGCCCCCCCCCCCCCTCGTAAATCCTGAATCCCTGCCAACGGCGCCGTCGTGACGTCAAGCACTTACTTCCTGATCGTCGCTCACCATGATGATATCGGCGGACTTCCCTGTGGTGCGGGATAGTCCGGGCTCCCCGCCGTGATCCTGCAGCGTCGTGGTGGGTGCGCTGTCCTTTACGCCCTCCGCACCCAGGTGATTGGAGGAAGCCTCCTGCGCAGGCGCAGCGGCTCGAGAGTCGGACACGTAGCGGTTCTTCGGCGGCGCTTGCACGTTGCTCAGGACGTCCGCCTTCCGGGGCCCCTGGATGACCCCCTGGCTGGGGCGCCCCATGGGGATGTCTGTTTCCCCTGGGGCGCACACGCGACTCAGGGAGATGTGGTTGAACCTCATATCTGGTGACGAAGGCTCCTGCAGGTGCGTAGGAATGGGGGGAAGGTGTCTGCAGGCAGGAATGGTCGTGTGGATGACGCCGTCCACCTTGACGAAAAGGCTCTCCGAGGCCACGGGCACTGTGGCCTTCTCCGTGCTGATCACGTCGCCGGAGTAGTAGTCGTAGGTGGCGACCCAGGAGGCTCCGTCGCGGGGGAAGAGAGCGTACAGCTCCCCTGAGGAGCCCGGGATCCACGCGCCGCCCCACGCGCCGCCCTTCAGGCTCGTCAGAGTCTTCTCCCCAGAACTCGGGTCGAACCTGACCACGCTCACTTTCGACTCGGGAGCCTCGTGCTCCTGCAGAAGGAAAAGGTTTCCTCGGGCGTCGCTCCACGACTGGAGAACTGTTGCCGGCGACTCGAGATGGCTCTCGCCCTTTGTCTGCGTTACCTCGTGGCGAGACCATTTGCCGAGGTGGTCCAGCTTCCACAGAGTCTGGCTCGTTCCCTGGGCCGAGGCAGAGCTCGAGCGCACCGGCCCAGCAGTCTTCTGCCTCTTGCTCGTCAGGAACCAGATGGCGTCGTGGCGGGCCCCGCACCAGCTCGCCTCCAGGGCCGCTGTTGCCGGAGGGAACTTGGAGTGCGTGGTCTCCAGCCACTTGCCGGTCTTGACGGAGAACATCCAGGTGGTGGCGGAGCCGTTGAGGGCATAGAGCACTATGATTCCCTTGGACCAGGAGCACAAGGCCACCGGGGCAGGCTCGGGCGCCGCGGGGACGGCCCTCGGGGAAGCATCCTCCAGAGGCGCCGGTGCTGAGGGGATGGTGGACGCTGCTTGCGCGAGGGGCGGATCTGCCCCTGCCCGGGAAGACTCTGGAGGTGCTGCAGCGTCCCTGGCAGCGGTGCGAGGCGCCTCCAGGTGATGCCAAGTGAGAGAGGTGAAGTTAAGGACCCACACTCTTCCAGGTGCCACGACCGAGCTGCCGAAGGAAAACGCCTGTTAATCACTGCTGGGAAACACATTTTCCGTGACATGTACTGACTAGCAAACATAGTGACATATCTCAACGATGAAATTAGTATTCAGATTAAAAAAGAACTAATATTCATTTATATTTATCTCTCTTTTAACTAAGAAATATCAAATATATCTTTTTTACATCAAAAGTCAGTTTGCCATGTACTGTCCACTTTAGGGCCTTGTTTCACTTTTATGATTCGCATGTTACTGATAAGAAACACATCCACCAGTCATAATTCATATCAGTGAGACGCAACCCGAGTTCAACGGCTTCTTTATGGCTCTCCAATCGGCTCTGTTGCGGCTCACCCTCGACAATCCCCCGCCATTATACCGCGTTTTGTAAATAATCCTAATCTTTATTCCTCTGTTTCGTTTGATCGCCTTTGAACCTATATTTGGGTTTCGAGATATTATTATTTTTTTTTTTTTTCTATCTTCTTCATTGATTCTTCATACCTCGCTCTGGCCTAACTAGGACCTGGGAATCGATTGGTAATTATTTTTAGTTTGTTGATGTCGATATTACACTGTTAAAGGGCACAAAAGCACGCACATCAACTGCTATGTGTGTGTATCTCTCTCTCTCTCTCTCTCTCTCTCTCTCTCTCTCTCTCTCTCTCTCTCTCTCTCTCTCTCTCTCTCTCTCTCTCTCTCTCTCTCTCTCTCTCCCTCTCTCCCTCCCCCTCTCTCTCTTTCTGTATATATATATATATATATATATATATATATATATATATATATATATACAGAAAGAGAGAGAGGGGGAGGGAGAGAGGGAGAGAGAGAGAGAGAGAGAGAGAGAGAGAGAGAGAGAGAGAGAGAGAGAGAGAGAGAGAGAGAGAGAGAGAGAGAGAGAGAGAGAGATACACACACATAGCAGTTGATGTGCGTGCTTTTGTGCCCTTTAACAGTGTAATATCGACATCAACAAACTAAAAATAATTACCAATATATATTTATATATATATATATATATATATATATATATATATATATATATATATATAAATATATATACATATATATACATATATATATGTATGCACACACACACACACACACACACACACACACACACACACACACACACACACACACACACACACACACACACACACACACACACACACACACACTGCCGCGATAGTCCAGTGGTTAGAGCACTGGACTCCAACCCTCGTGCTCACGAGTTCTATTCTTCGCCGCGGCAGTCGTAAAAAGGCCTGCGCTCTAACTGCTAGCTCAAGCCCGAGAAAACGCAGGTGTCATAAAGGAAGACATGGCACAAGTGTTTGCGCGCCGAACCGCAGTTGATTAGGAAGGGCATCCAATCAGGCAAGGGTGCCACTGCCAAATAACCTCTCAGTAGTGAACTGAGAGAGGCCTATGTCCTGCAGTGGAATAAATGGCTGCTAGAAAAAAAAAATATATATATATAAGTTTTGTTTATTCATCTATGTCTTTTTCAACTCCCCTATGACACCTGCGTTCTCTCAACGTGAGATCGGGCTCGAGCCAGCAGTCGGAGCGCAGGTATTTTTACAACCGGCACAGCAGGGAATCACTTAGTGAACCATCGCTCTTCATCTTGTGTATCCTTTTAAAGTGTGAACCTTTTATGAATGTACTCTTTATGGTTACATCAGTCTTAGCATTTTATTGACTTTATCATTTATATAACCATCTGAGTCTCCTAACTTGTATTACCATGAGAGGTCGTCCCTTAACTTTTTTATACTTTTGAGTCATCTTCAAACGTATTCAGATATCTACTTAGGCTTATGTTGGTCCCCTAAATCCTTGATGAAAGTAATGAAAATAATCCGCGCCAAGACAGATCCTTGAGGTACCTCGCTTGTTACTTGTCTCCCTATAGAGTGCTTTCCTCTAAGTACTGTGTTGACTTGTCTTTCTTGTAGGAAGTCTTTCATCCGCTTGAGGAGTTTACCTTTCACTCCACCTTGGTATTCTAAACGCTTTTTAAAGTCCAAGCATACATAGCCCAACTAGGCGTCCATTTCTAGTAACATTTCAGACATTTGCTTCATTTAATAGTATAACAGTTTGTCCTATGTACTTGTGTGTGTGTTTGTGGGTGTTGTGTGTGCGTGTGTTTGTATGTGTGCATGTATGTGTGTGTGTGTTTGTGTGTGTGTGTGTGTGTTTGTGTGTGTGTGTGTGTGTGTGTGTATTTGTGTGTGTGTTTGTGTGTGTGTGTGTGTGTTTGTTTGTGTGTGTATGTGTGTGTTCGTTTGTGTGTATGATGACATTCACACACATAGTCATGTACATATCTATAACTCGCAACCCAGATTTTCTAGATGCGCGACTTGTCTTTGTCTGTATGTGTGTATTTCCCGGAGTGATTATTTTCCGATCTACATCTGACAGGCGCTAATTGATTAGAGGCACGGCCGGGCTGTTCCAGAAAGATAAAGATTTTGGCGAATGGCGGGTCGCTTGGGGAACACGAGGGGTCGATAGATCGGGGAATGGCAGGGGCCCATAGAGCAGGGAAGGTAAGGGCTCTATAAATCAAAGTAATGCAAAGGGCCCATAGATCAAAGCAGGCAAGGGACACATAGATTACCTACAGTAACGTAATGGACACATAAGCCACGTACAGTAACGCAAGGACACATAGACCACGTTCAGCAAGGCAAAGGACACAGAGATCACGTACAGCAATGCAAAGGACAAATACGTCACGTAAGGCAATACAAAGGACACATAAGCCACGCACAGCAATACAAAGGACACATAGATTACGTACAGTAATGCAAGGAACACTTACAAATATTCAGGGACCGTAATCAAGTCAGCACATCAGAGAAAGCAATAGATGGACTGATCAAGGCGATAGATCAAGGCAAGCAAGCAGGATTGTTTTGTGGTTAGTGGCCGGAGGGTCGATCAGGCTATGCAAGGGGGTCGATAAATCATGGAATTCCGGTAGGTGAGTGTAAATGCATTAAGGTATGTATGAATGTATTGGTAAAGCGAGGGAAAGGGAGAGGGAGAGAGGGAGAGAGAGAGAGAGAGAGAGAGAGAGAGAGAGAGAGAGAGAGGAAGAGAGAGAGATAGAGATGGAGAGAGAGAGAGAAAGAGAGAGAAAGAGAGAGAGAGGGGATAGAGAGAGAGAGAGAGAAAGAGAGAGAGAGAGAGAGAGAGAGAGAGAGAGAGAGAGAGAGAGAGAGAG